AGGAAACCTGCAGCAGTTCACGCACAAAACAATCGTTATACTGAACACAAGTCGCCTGCTTCCTTTTCCGTGTGTGCACATATACACTGCATCATGCACGTATGTTTGGGAGGAGATACTCATAGATTTGGAAACAGACTATCAACAGAGTAAAGGGTTATTCTGGGACAGACTCAGAGATGCAACAAAGGCAAATACAACCTTAACAATGTGCCAGTTTGCGCTGTAAAGATGCATGACTAAACAGGATGGTTAAAGAGTTTATTCCTCAAACATGCGAATTGTAGAAACTAATTACATACATTCTTCAAGCAAATTAATTGATGACAGTTATGTCTTTATATAGCTACTATAAAATAATGCTTACACCTATAATGTAACTCTTGGCTTTGTAATAAAAAGCCTGGGCCCTATTCCTCCCAGCCTGTGGAGTAGTTTTATCTTGAAGCTACAGGAAGTTGTAATGGCACATCACAGGGCGAGCTTGAATAACTACTGACAGAACTTAAAATCCTGGTTTCAGGTGAGAACGCTTTCATTCAATTTCAGCACCAGTCACTCCAGCCTTCTCTTCTCAAATCCTTGCTTTTTTTTTCTTGCATTTTCAGCAACAGTGCTAACCCTTCAGAACAGAGCAGGGAGGCCAGACAAATAGGACTTTTAAAACTTTCATTACTGCTTTAAGGGAGAGAAGAACCAACTGGGAGTTATTTGATGCTAAAAATTATGTGGAACATAAGCCATCTTCCTTCTCCTGCTACTCACACAAGGAGGAGGAGAAATAAGGTGCAGTGTACCAAGAAAAAGTAGAGGTTCACCTGAGCAGGCAGGTCAGAGAGGGAAAACTTCAGGAGGAAGAGGCTGCATGGAAGGGGGCAGCTTGACACAGGGAACATCAGGATGCAGCAACTCACAGGAGCCAGACCTTTTCCTTTTGGGCACACTACTGACCTGGGGCAGTGCACCCTGCCTCTCCCCACAGCCCAGGCTGGGTGGGTAGGAGACAACACCAGCCGCAGCAGCCCCATAGAGAGAACCTTCTGAGGCTGCCTCCTAAGACCTGTGTAATTAGAGGCTGTCTTATGCCACAAAGAACAGGAGGTTGCATTCCTTCCAGTGTCACTAGTTTTTTCCAAACCAGACGTGTTCTCTATTACCATCCCTCTAGAACCCTGCTAAGCCCTCAGCTTTAGTGATACCTTGCTGAGTAGTTCCTCAGGCTCAATGGCATTTTGCAAAAAGATATTTCCTTTATCACTGCAAACACGATGCTGTTCACCACCACAAATGGTTATGAGCCAGCGCCAGCAAAAGTGGCCGACTTAAACTTCCTCATGTTTTTCCCTTTGGATTCCCTGAGTAATACACACGTATATGTGTATATCAATAATGCACTTCTGTCCATATTATAACAGGTAGGAATTATTGTTGTCACAGAAATGATTCTTGAGTTTTAAATGAGCGTGGCAGGATAACAAAACATGTCACAGCTATAGGAAGAGTGAGGATATGAAACAGAGCTCCATTACTCACTTTGTTAGTCTGAAACAATTAAAAAGACATGTGCTTATTACCACATTGGTCTACATGTAAGACAATTCTGAACCACTTTTAGGGCAGCAGAAATACATATAGGCAAATACAGAGTGAATAAGGAAGCCCACTTTGCCCTCCCATGAATCATGGCTGTCCCAAAATCTGCATCCCAGATCCCCCACAGTCGTTGTTACAGCTCCTTCACACAGCTGAGAAATGGACTCTTTAATTTTTGACAAGGGAATTAAGCAATGTTTGGGTAGAGGACATGAATCGTCCTCCAGATGTGCCGGAATATGGAATACTAGTATGGAGGGACTAGTTTAGACTAAATACCTAACCATTAAATAAAGATACATGGGATGACCTCTAGTAGGTCACTAAAGTTTTTATCAAATATTAATGAAGCATCAGAGTAAGTTATTATTCTATTATACCAACACAATCCGGTCTGCAGCATCTCCTAAGTATGCCTGGACTCATAATGAAAATGCTGATGATTTCTGGAAACAGTCTTGCTACCATAGTAGGCCACAGACATGACTTTGCTTCAATTTTACTTTGCAAAGAGTCTTTATGCTGCAAATGAAAAATCTTTATTCAATACAAGATGAATTAGAAGGCTAAATACTATGAGAATGGAAGTTATTGCAGACCGTAACACTAATTCATATCCGAGCTTTTATTTTAAGATTCTACTTAGCCTGAAAGGACACAGTGTAAGTTAACCTCAGTATCATGATACTGTGAACTTATATAAGTTAGCTAAATCACCTATAGAGCCTATAGACGCGTAAATATTAATGAAGTATTGGGAATAGGCACCAGTTATGAGTTGTGTTTCGTGGCTTGTCACTATGAATATTAATGCACTCTGGTGAGCAATTGCTTTGGTTGTGAGTGGTGTTACTAGGTGTAAAACTATAAATATTAACGATGTGGGAAAGACAGTCTATTTGGTTGTGACTTGTGCTCTTTTCTGAGCAAGTGTATATATATGTCACCCTTCAGTGTTTTGATGGGGGTTTAGGCAACAGTCTCAGCCTCCACTGCTGCTACAATAAAACAGTATTTTGACAAACATGTCCGTCCAAAACACACGAGGTGGTTCCATTTCTGACTTTTGAACACAGCTCTGTCTGCCAAAGGCTGTCTCAGTTCCACCATCAGTGCTGCATTTCAGGGATTTTAGAGGAGAATATATCTGCTGAATTTTTTTTCCAGGCGTACATCTTGTACTTTATGCTATAAGCAGTGCAGATGGCAGCACTTATGTTTAACTTTTCCTGCTACTTCCCATTGTAAAACTTTGTCTTCCGTTGTTTTAAAATTTCCCAAAGTTTTCTGGTGTGTCTGCCCCCAGCTCAGGTTCTCCGTTTATCTGTTTCTTATCAGTGCTGCAGGGAAGGTGAGGACATGGGGCCTCCCTGCACACCAAAGGGAGGGCAGCATCCTCTTCATCCTCATTCTTCTCTGAAGCTGGAGATGTGCCTGGCCAGCCCTGATGCTGCTCCATCAGATCTGCCCTGGTAATTCTGTGCAATTACTCGTGTAAATCAGGGCAGAGCCTTTACTGTGCAGCTTACAAGAAGGGCGAGTGCAGGGCTAGAGTAGGGTGCAGCCTGGAAATCCACCTCCCTGTGAAACAAACAGCGCTCCTGTGACCTTCCTTCTGTCTGACTATTTAGTATGTGTTAGCATTTACTAAAGAAAGATCCTCAGGCCAACTCGTGTTGTTGCTGTGTTTATGCATTTTCCAATGTGATGGTTTCCAGAAAAAAAAGCATGGCAGGGTCACTGGGGTGGGGAAGCTGGAGAGATGAAAAATATTCAGAAGAGGACTAGTGTATGAGTTAATTGGGACTGGCTAATATTTCAAGGCAACTGAATTTCCGTTAGCTTGTATATTTCTCATTGAGTTTCTACAGCCAGACGTGGCACAAGGTCTTCCAAAATTTCTGGAAGAGGGCAGCAAATGCTCCCTTGCTATGTTTTTTTAAAAGCAGGAACAAGTATTTAAGAATGAAGGTCCACCAGGAGAAATCAGTTTGGGAGAGATCTGAATTAGGAGAGGAGGGGTTGTGGGCATCAAAAGGAGTCCAGCAGCTGCAAACACTCACCTTTGTCAGAAATGAGAAACCAGTTCTTCGAGATTTCATTTCCCTCCTTAGACTTTCATTTGGGAAGTTAGGTCAACACAGTTATTTCTAGATGTCCAATAATGAATATTAGATGAAATGACATTTTCTTATAATTGTCCATGACTTCTTGACATAGCTCATATCTTTACTTCAGGCCCAGTAAAGCCTACATTTTCTGCAACAGACAATCACAAAATTACACTGAAAATGTCTTTTCCATGCCTTTCCTTCCCATTTTATTCTATGACAATTTTTCAGAGTGTTTCTATTAAAAAAGAAATGGTTTTGGACAATGACTGCAATCCAAATGGAGTTTGTAACTATAGTACCAATAATATAACACTTCAACAGAAGAAAAGGAGCGTGAAAAAAATGCAAGAGAAAGTCTTTATGGGACTTTCTTCCTTCTTTCCTCCAGGGATACAAAGCACAGTGGTAATAGAATCATCAGTTTTCCAGAGCCTGTTAATAAAATGAATGTTTTTGAGGGTTTGTCTTTAACTTACAAGTATGAAATTGCGAGTCTCTTGTTTCAAAACCCTATGGAAACTAAACTGTAATAGTACCTTGATGTTGCCAGACTAAACTTTCTGAAAAAGATTTTTAATACTAGCAGTAAACTTTCCTAGGTTGCTTTATATTTTACAAACTGGGGTTTCAAATCAGATGAAGCCTGTTGCTTTGTAAA